TTAAATCAACTATTAGAGTATTTTTAAAGTTGTAGTATTTTACTAGAGAAAACATACATTTACGACAATATAAGCTACATACTAAATTCTACAACATAGTTTCTACATTTAGAGTCTAATTAATCATCCCCATTGATTTTGAAAATCTTGTCAATGAGTTTGTAAGTGATCAAAAATCTAACAAAAAAAAAAATAGTTCAGGTGCATTCACAAAATTTAACAAAAAAATAAATTTAAAAATAATAATATAGATAATTTCTTCAGCATTGTATGACAAAATTAGCCACATCCTTTTTTTTCTATAGAACAACAATGTACCATTCAAATTAAACAAAAAGAGAGATATTAACATCAACAAATCAGGATGATATTAATTCATAATAATAAATAATCGATAAACTTGGCGTAAACCTCTTGAAGATGAAGCAAATACAAAATAAAAATCTCTCACGTCATATATTTTGTTTATTCGCTTAGAAAGTGACGTCAGGGACAATACCGAGCTCCTTGAAAGCAGCGGGACAATCAGCTAACGGTGTCTTAACCATGAAACCGAGAGGGTTAACGCTACGTGTCTCGTGAGAGACGATTCCGTCATTCGCCGTTAAACTGATCTTAGCGGCGTTACGTAAGTACTCGTCTTTGCTGACATCACTGCAACCACTGTCTGGTGATTGGACCAACACGAGCTCGCAAACTTCTTCTTCGTGGTCACCGGTTACTTCCATCTTGTAGCTTCCTGATTTGTCGGTAACGGCTTCTTTGGTTAACGCTAGTGTTCCGTTTGTTCTGCTTCTGCACTCCAACTTCACTTTCGCACCTTCACAAACACCAAAAAATGTTAAACCAAATTAAATACTACTTAATCGTTTGAACATATTAATATGATACTGATTTAGTTTTAAATTGTGGCTGGGCTACGTACTCAAAAATATTGGTATTGTAAGAAAAAAATATATAGTATTGACGTTGCATGCATTCTTATAACATGCTAGATATATAGAGTGCGCAAACACATACTCGTCTCAAACTATTTCGTTATATAATGTTTTTATGAAACGTGTATTTGATGTGCTACATTTTATTAGAGGCTTCTATTCACACATTCATAATAAATTTAGTTTACCTTCGAGGAATTTGCTCAGACGGGTAACGAATTGGACACGGCAAGTGTCACAGTAAACTGATCCCTGAATCTGGAAAACGTCAGAATCATCAGCATCTGCGGCGGCAAAACCGGCGAGAGAGGACAAACACACGGTGAAGACGATAAAGAGAGAAAAGAAGATTTGTTTGGAAGCCATTTTGGTTAAAATATATTTTGCTTTGTTTTTCTTTTGTTTGGTGGTCTCTCTTCTTTTCGATTTCTCTTTATAATAGTAGTTTAATTTCAAACGATAAGTTGAGTTATGTTTGAGAAGAGGACAACTATTCTCGTGAAGCACCGAGTTTGTTTTATATTAGAAACCCGATTGTTATTTTTAGACTAAAACTAAAAGTAAGTCGTTTGTTTCTTAATTTAAAATTACTTTCAATAGGTTTTGAATATAAGAATGTTAAGTTTATTAAAGCTTAATTATAGCTGTGGTTTCTATTTTTTTACCACCTTTTTCTCTCTTTTCTCTTCTATTAATAAAAGAGTAGCATACAAAACATTTCTATGTTTGTTTAATTTAATTTATTGGAACTAAGATTATTTTTAGGATCCTTGAATTCTTTTACTGAACACTTGAACAGTTAAGGTTGATTTTTTTTGCTTATTGGACTCATATAAATCCAGTAAGATGAGATTTTTTTTTCAACATGAGCTTTTAAATTGACGATTGGATGAAAACGTATTCTTAAAATAACGAATCAAATTCTAACAAAAATTAATTGTTGATTCAATATTACATTCATTTAGATTATATATTTGATTTGAGAAAGGTTTTTTTTTTTGAACAAAAGAAAGGTTTTAAACAACATTTGGCTCATTCAGCTTGAATAAACCTGATTTTTTGAACCAAGCTAATAACACCTGCAAGTTTATATTCGGCTTAATTTAGTCTTAAAATTATTTTCAGATCGAATAAATCAACAGTATAAGAAAGTAAACCGATAATAAATTGGATGGAACGAATGCTCCGACCTAGGAAAATAACTTTTTTTAGTTTTGTATGAATTTATTAGCACATTTGTTCTCAACCGTTACAACATAAATTCGACAAGAGTCGCAATCTTTCAAAAATCATATCCAGCGAGTTCACAGAAAATTCCAGATCCAGAAGCTTTAAAATGAAAAAAAAAGACAAATGAAAACACTAATAAAACCAAATCTAAGGTTGAAAAAAACAAATCTACCGAAGACTAATCAAGACAATAGCCCAACAACAAGGGTGATAAAATGCTTAAAACCGAGGGAACTCAAGCCTAACTCCATAACAGCACAGCAGTTTAACATTTTACCAAATAAAAACTCCATAACAGCACCAGACCACCAGTAATTTCCAAAGACCTGATGACGCTCGAGTTGAACTCATAAGACTTGAGAAAACCACATTCCAATACAGGTCTAGAACACAATCTCAAGAGTTACACATCGGCATAAACAATCGAAAACTGAGGTATCACATAGCTGATAACAACTTATAATATCACGTATGCACCAAGAAAGCGGAAAACTCATCAAGAGAGCAAAACTCCAAGAACAAACATAGGAGCAATCGTTGGGTGGACCTTTTTACTTTTGTATTATTTATGTTCAGTTACCCCCATAAAAGGAGATTAAAGACAAAATATAATTTCCAAATGCAGTTTTTATAAACGGACAGTGTTTGGGCCTCTGAGTTCAACTAATCTACAAATATCACATACACAGTACTAACGAATAGTCTGACCTAGATTTCTATCAAGGCTAAACATGAATCCCATATTCATCTGACCAAATAAATAATTCTTTAATTATTTGTAGGAAATTAACCAAAGACCGACAGATTTACCTTTTACCACCATTAATTAAGAAAATTAAATACAGCAAAAAGTAAAAATAAAAGGATGCAACACAAAAATTTATGGGGATGTCACCCTTCCTAATACCATTCTCTTCCAAAATATGTGTAGGTCGCACCCTAAAAAGGTGTCTTTGCTGCCTTACTTTTCCTGTTGTGGAACATCCCTACGCCACATGAAATCTAGATGCCTACTTCTACGTACATGAGCCCAGTGCTAACAGTCCAAATCATTCACTTATCTCTGATTCCATTGTTGTTAGTGATTTGTAGAAATGAATAGTATATATATATTTTTGTGGCGTGTTTTAATGTCCTTACAATGGTCGTATATACACACAACATTTAGACAAATCTCAATTAAAATATAATTTATCTAAATCTTATGACATATATCAATATTATCTAATTTTTATCACAACATAATTAATATAATATGTTACGGTTTGGACTTTATAAATTTCATGGTTTCACTTCATAATCGACTTCAACAGTTTGTAACAATTGGTCCGCAAGATAAACATTTTGCTATCAATATATCTTCAATATGATTCAATGGAAGGTGTTCAGCCCAAAGCTATAGTTTAGGGATGTTCACTTATCACTATTCTTATTGCTATCAATAATCCTTCTTAGAAATCAAAATTAAGTCGATTTATTAAACAATTTTTTTATGATGGCATGTAGTTCAAACTTTCCTGTTGAATATTAGAACAAAGTTTGATACATTTCATGACATCAACACAGTTAGTTGATTTCTGTTTTGGAAACAACAATTTAAATATTTTCTTGTATGTAGAAGTTTCGAATAAGTTTTTGATGATGGTTACTTTTTGTTTGATAATAATTATATTACTCAGTAAAAAAATAATTTTATTTATCTAAAATGTGTATCTATATATTATTAATGATATTTCTACATAGGTATCTTTTTTATTTAGTTGTTTAGACATTGCTCTCACATCGCCAATTAAAAAAAAAATGGATTTATGTCCAAAATGACATTCCGTAAGCATCCTTGTTAACGCCCGATTATTCATTTATGTACTTATATTGTCTCTTACTAAAACTTATTACCAATTATGTTGTATTTTATAGACAAAATAGAAAAGTTCATAGAAATTCGAGTTAGATGAAATTGTAGGAAAACATCATTGAACAGGAAACTTTTTGACAAAATTATTTAGATTTATCTACAGAAGAATACTTAGTGTAATGAAGTTCACTTGGTTGTGAGTGACTATGATTCGAAATTAGTTAATTTTGTCGAATCTTTTTTTTTTGCCTTTGTTTTAAGCTTTTAACTTGCACGGATAGTTCTCTTATGAATGAAGGAAATATAATTCTTGAATTTAGATTAAATTTACTAATTAATAAAAAGACAAAAGAAGACTCCATGTTTTGATGATTTTAATATTTTTAATGCATCAAAGGTATATTTAGTATGTGAAATCCAAATGAATTACGTTTTTTCATAGATATAGGTTGAGGAGCTGAAAATTGTTAGTTTAAAACAAATATGTTTTCAGATGATATTTGCAACTTTTTTGTTCCATATGTCATTCTTAAATTTTAATTTTCGGTTTTCAAATAAATACATTTATTCAAAACACAAACCAGTACTCGAGTTTAAAGTCCGAATATCATAAGCCTAAAGAGATCAAAGTCTAATAAGTTCAATTTTCTAGTTATCAAATGCATTTGTTTACAAAACCTAAACCGCAGCTGTATAAGGAAAAATGCAGCCGAACTGAAAGTGAAGAGGAGTTTATCTCAGTTTTGGTCTTTAATGTAGAAAAAGTACTTAACAACCATAAATAATGCATGATCGATCTGGTTATGTTGGATGTTAAGATCATCATGTCGTTACGTGTAAACTTAAAATACTTTGTCCTAATCACTTCATGGGTACATTACCAATAACATCAAACCCTTTCAACTATAAAAACCCCACTTCCAAACCCTTTTGTAGTAATCAAATTAGTATCAACATCCTTCATCTTTTCCTAAAACATGGCTTTAACACACATCCAAATCTTTCTCATTGTCTCTCTACTTTCATCATTCTGTTTTTCACTCGCTCTTTCTCATCCACTCGATGATGATGTTGAAGTCACCATGCAAAAGAGACATGCCGAGTGGATGACCGAGCACCGCCGTGTTTACGCAGATGTGAACGAGAAAAACAGCCGCTACCTTGTGTTCAAACGCAACGTGGAACGCATTGAACGCTTAAATGACGTTCAATCCGGACTAACGTTTAAACTCGCGGTGAACCAGTTTGCTGATCTAACCAACGAAGAATTTCGTTCTATGTACACTGGTTACAAAGGAAGGTCGGTGTTGTCAGGTCAAACTAAAGCTACGTCGTTTAGGTACGAAAACGTTTCTTCTCACGCTTTGCCGATTTCTATTGACTGGAGGAAGAAAGGAGCTGTGACTCCTATCAAGGATCAACACACTTGCGGTAATATAATTCCAAACCTTTATTCATTTGCGTATATAAACTAAACCAACCTAAATTTTGAACCGGGATAATCGAACAATTTGGTTTCCTTAAGCCAAATGATTTGATCTCTTAATTTATACAGTATATATAACCCGAACAAAGACCAAAGTCTAAAAAAAAAAAACAAAAAAAAAACCAAAGTCTAGTGTAACTAAACCGATCAAAATTAATTACAAGTCCCTATTTATACTGTATAGAAAAGGAAGGATATTTATTTATTTTAAATTTTGATAGAAATTATTTTGAATATTTAAATAGTTTCTGTTCGAAAACCGAAACTGATTTGAACCGAGAATTTTAAAAGGAACTGTAAAATTCCGGTTATGGATGCTCAAAACCAAAAAAAAAAAGAAAAAGGAAATACATGACCTAATCAGATCAGATCACCAAAGAGTTAGTTGCATGGATAGTGAAACTAACGAGTGAATGTTTTGCGTAGGATCGTGTTGGGCGTTTTCAGCGGTTGCAGCTATAGAAGGAGTAGCACAAATAAACAAAGGGAAACTCATTTCTTTATCTGAACAAGAGCTTGTTGACTGCGACACAAATGATTCTGGCTGCATAGGCGGTTTGATGGATACTGCGTTTAAGTATATCAAGGCTATTGGCGGCTTAACCTCTGAAACAGATTATCCTTATAAAAGAAAACAAGGAACTTGCAAGATCAAGAAAACTAAACAGATAGTAACTTCTATCAAAGGTTTCCCTTTAATAATTCCCTCATAAAAGTCATATAGAACAGATTCATATAATAACCCGAAAAGTTAACCGAATAAACAAAAACTATTTACAAAAATCAGAATAATAAAATTGTTGTTTATAAACAAAACCAATCGGAAATATATACTAGTGTTCATGCTTTGAATTTCAATCTCTTATACACATATCATAGGTTATGAGGATGTCCCGGTTAACAATGAGAAAGCCCTAATGAAGGCAGTGGCACACCACCCGGTTAGCATTGGAATAGACGCAGGAGGTTTTGGTTTCCAATTCTATTCGTCAGGTGTGTTCAGCGGAAAGTGCAAAACTAATCTTAATCACGGGGTAACTTTGGTTGGATACGGCCGATCTAGCAATGGATCAAAGTACTGGATCCTCAAGAACTCATGGGGACCAAAATGGGGTGAACGTGGATACATGAGGATCAAAAAAGATGTCAAGCCTAAACAAGGACAATGTGGTCTTGCCATGAAAGCTTCTTACCCAACTATGTGAAAACCGGTTCAATATCCGGTTAAGCTCTAAAATGAATGTGTGTAAGGTTATAATTTAAGACTCTGTTGCATGTATGTGAAATGGTAAGTCTATGTGATGCAAAATATTTGATAACTTTGAATAAAGTTTAAAACTTAATTATATAACTTATATGGGGCCGGGTTTGCTATCATAATGAAATCTAATTCGCTTATCATAAGCTTCGGTATCTTGTTTCTTGGATTAGAAACTGCAGGTTACTATGCACCATGTTCTCATCTACAAGTCTCAAACCAATTGACTATTCTTCTTTCACTCTCATTGCCTCCATCAGAAGAATCAGACGATAAACAGTCATCGACCGAGAGTACTAGTCATGGAAATAGGAATAAGTGTTCTGTTCTAGGGACTTTGTATGACACCAATACCATCGAAAGCTTTAGTAAACTCGAGAAACAAAACTCAGCAGAGGAAGCTATGTTAAAGGGCTTAGTCAAAAGCGCAATCCCCTACAGCTAATGTATGAAGGACCCGAAACCAGATGACTCCAAACAGAGGAACAATCCTATGTAACACAGCCGCTCGGCTTCCGACTTACTTTATCACCAGCGTTTTGCAGGATTTTAACTAACAAAATTAATTATAAATTTATAAAAGAATATTCATTTCTAATTTATATTACTAAAAATCGTCCATCTCAGTTTTTTTTTCTTACAATAAACAAGTGGAAGTAATTTGCATAGGATACTAAAACAAGTGGACTACATCCTTAATTACTTTGTATTTTGATGATGTCCGTATCACTCGATCCAAACACTTGTGTTTTACGCAATAGACCCTCAAATGATAACTTACGTTTGAAGTAATTTGCATAGGATACTAAAACACCAAGCTACTTATACAAAATCAGAAACGAATAATATTACAGAGAATAAAGTATCATACAAAGTATTATCTTTTGAAAGAAAAAAAAAGAAGCACATGAATTTTATTGCTGAATCATTCTTATATCAAAAATGGTGCCTTGAAAGTTACATAAGAAGCATAACTTCTTTAAACTTTTATAGAGTAAGGCGCGATAAAAAAAATATGTAAACTTATTAGAACACAAAGGGTCTAACTGGTGACCAAAAAATGAAAGAAAATAATGCATTTCTTACTCTTTCTCATTTATTTCACCATTTATAAAGACTAACTTTTCTTTTCTATTCTTTTTTATTCTTTATATTCTAGAAGAATATAGAACAAACTTATTTCTCACCAAAATTAATAAAAATAGTTTTTCTCTTCATGCCTATAATTTTATTTTTGTACGTTTTTTTCTACTCCTTCCTAATAATTTTATGATGGTCATCAGTTAGACCCACGATCTTAATAAAATGTAGAATTAATAGCAAAGGTTTCAACAAAATCCAAATCGTAATATTTAAGTCAATCCTATCAATATCCAAAGTTGTTAGTTTGTGATCAAGTAAGACAAACATAAAATATATATGCACAATATTTTATAATAAGATAAATAAAGCTTCAAGAAAGTAAGATGAGAGTTCCTTCTCCAAAACTAAAAAAAATCCACTCACAACCAACAACGAACGGCTACATCACTTTGGCCGACCACAAGATCTTGCACTTGAAGTAAAAGAAATACTCAATTCCTCATCATTTTAAGTCATTAATGTAAGTTAATATATTCAACCAATAAGGGAGGCCAGATGTGAGAGTATCAGTTATCGGTTTGATCTGGTTCAATTCCGTGTAAAACCATTCTGATCTGTCGATTTGGTTCCAAAAAAAATCAGATAGAGCAAAAAAGAATTTTGAACTTTGTACGAATATTTATCTAACTATTTTATAAATATATTTTTAAAAAAGTTTCTAATGTTTCTCTCTACTTTATGACAAATGTAAGAGTTTGTTTGGCTTACTTGGTTTATTTGATTGAGAATATATAAGACCAATTTATCTATACAGTTCCTTAATTGATTCGGTATCAGTTCGGTTAATTTTCTATGTTTTGCTTCAAATTTCCTCCTTTACCAAATAAGCAGAAAAAAAATTAGCAATAAGAGTAGTAATCATCCTCGCCACCAATAAACAACTATAATCATCACAAAAGGCTTCTTAAGAACCCTCGACCACTTCTCTTCTCTTCTGAACATAAAAACCAAAAACACACACAAACTCACAAACTGAAAGATAAAAGAGTAAAGGGATAAATGAGCACAGCAAGATTCATCAAGTGTGTGACTGTCGGAGATGGAGCCGTGGGGAAGACTTGTATGCTGATTTCATATACCAGCAATACTTTTCCTACGGTAACGATTTATTGTTTAGGTTTAAACAATTTGTTTCCATGAATACTTTCAAACTGATGTTTAAAGAGTTTTTTGTTGGTCTCTTGAAGATTTTTACTGGCTTTTACGTAATTTTATATTTTCATGTTTTTTCGATTTTAAGATTCGTTTTGACAAAGCCTGGTTATGTACTGATATGTTTTTTTTATACTGATACATATTCATGGAAAGTTTTCTCGTACTAAGGTTTTTGTTTTTACGTTTACGTACCAAAAAAAACATTCTACTCATATGATGTGTAATCGTATATTTTTACAAATGATACTTGAATATTTTCATTTAATAAGTTCAAAAACAAAAATTAAACTATTGGACCCAGATCCGAATATATATTTTTGATTTTTTTTATATGTTTGTTTATATATATGTTTGGGAAAATGATTTAAATATATAATTTACAGGATTATGTTCCGACAGTTTTCGACAATTTCAGTGCGAACGTGGTGGTCGATGGAAGTACGGTCAACCTTGGCCTCTGGGATACTGCAGGTAAATAGTAAAACTTTTTTAGTAAAACATGAATGGACAAAAAGTATAAATTTATTAGTATTAATAATTAGTTTTAATGTGCAGGGCAGGAAGATTATAACAGGCTTCGGCCTTTGAGTTACAGAGGAGCAGATGTGTTTTTATTAGCATTTTCCCTAATTAGCAAGGCCAGTTACGAGAATATTTACAAAAAGGTAGCGTTTTTAAATTTGCATCCGTTTTTTAATGATTATGGTGAAATATTTTAAATTGTTTTCAAGATTATTTATATTAATTTCTTAAATAATAGTGGCTGCAGGAGCTGAAACATTATGCGCCTAGCATCCCCATTGTGCTCGTCGGAACCAAATTAGGTAATAAAGAAGTTCATCAACATTTACTTAAACAAATCCGTCAACGAGAGCGAAACATTTCGTGGATATGTAATATTTAATATATGCTTTGCAGTTATGTGAAATTATTTTATTGCATATCCTTTAATTCAATTCTAGTGAAAATAATATGTGAAAATATTCATCATTAGATTATTTTCTGTTAGATAAAGTTTTCTAGCTTACTAGTTCCAATAAATCTTAATATATTCTTTTTCATTTCTATAGTTTCTTGTTCTGTAGCTTATAAACGTAAACTGAAACACGATAGCAGGAAAATACAAGAATGCAGTAACATTGCCCACTTGGGTTATATATTAATGAGCTAATAATCAGTAGTCCAGTATTATTTATGCATTTTCCTTGGTTGATTTTGCCTTTAGTCTTTGTTCATTAAAGTATATTAATAGTGAGGTAATGTTAAAAAGAAAAATTACGAAGTTTCAATTTTTTTTTTTACAGACTTGAGGGATGACAAGCAGTTTTTGAAAGATCATCCGGGTGCAGCTTCTATAACAACTGCTCAGGTATCCTTATAAAGATAATATATTAATTTTACAAATACAGATGTCTATATGTTAAGTTAAAACAAAACAAAAAAGATGTCTATATGTTACAAAAATATCATAACTGTAGCTGTAATAGTAGAATGAATTTGAGTAACAGGGAGAAGAACTAAGAAAGATGATTGGAGCCGTCAGATACTTAGAATGCAGCTCCAAAACCCAACAGGTATATGATTTCATATGAGTACATTTATATTTAACATTAGGTTGAAATGCAATATAACCAATTAAGTAAGCTGAAAAGGTTTTGTTTTTCTCTTTGTCAGAATGTGAAGGCAGTGTTTGATACAGCGATCCGGGTGGCTCTGAGGCCACCAAAGGCAAAGAAGAAGATAAAGCCACTGAAGACTAAGAGATCAAGAGCATGCTTTTTCTTCTAATATTTCACAAATTAAATAAACACAAAGTTTTTTTTTTTTTTGGTAATGACAATGGATATTCGTCTTAAACAATTTCATGCCAGCAGAGGCAATTTCAAATTAATAAATAGTGGGTCACCTGATACATGTTAAATATATATATTTTGGTATTTTCCATCACATACTTTTTATTCAGTAGTTATGTTGGTTTGTTTCCTCCCTTAGTAATCCAGGTTTTTATTCAGTAGCTCTGTTGGAAAACACTTAAATAAAACGTCTCTAGATCTAGCATCCTTTGCTAGTGAATCCGCACGAATATGAACATATGAAACAAACTCACACTTTCAAAATTCTCATGTAAAATCTAAAACGCATTCATTTCTGAAGTGAAAGCCAATCCACCGGGTTCGTAGTAATATCAACTAGATCTGAACTGTCAGTCTAAAGTTGGATCGAGAGAACTTGGAAATCTCTCAAACACTATGTTGCTTAAAGCAATTTTCCCATCTCATGATGTAAGGTTGAGAAGCTTCTACTGCAATCATGGAGTCCAAAAGTGTAATTACCCGCCAGGTGAGATCCATGTTGGTTTTAGAGCATCGAATTTAATCTCTCACATGTAAGCCCTAAACTCTCCCTAAGAGCTTAATTGGTGACAACTTGTCATGTGTGAAGACTGTTAAAGGGTGAGATTTTGGTTCGAAGAACACCAAACCACTAATAACCTATATGGGGAGTCAGTGAACATTTATAGGTGAGAGATTAAGATCGATGCTCTAAAGAGTCAGTGTGGATCCCATGGGACGGGTTTTAACAAAAAGATTCACCATCCATTTGATAGTTAAAAATCCAGCTTAAGCCACAATATGTGCCGTTATCGATCCATGAAACATCGATTTGGCAAGTTAGGATTTTGGGATATCATATAAGGGGTTTCCGCAAATAGATTTGAAACATAATATCCGTATCCAAAGTACTAACCCGAAACCGACCCGAAAATCAGAGTACCAAACTCGGTCGGATATTGCCTAAATATCTTAAAGGGTCCTTTTTCAAAACCCCAAAAAAAACCGAATCTGACCCGTACTGAATGAGTATCTGAACATATCCAAACATATAAATATATATGAAAAAAATATATTCATAATTATACCTTTACTAATAGTAATATCTAAAATTAAAATTATATATCAAAGATATTAATTATTTGGATATTTATAGATAAAATTGATGTTTTGGATACAAAATACCCAAATAATATTGTATATATGGTTACTTTCGAACAAAAAAATAACCAATTTGAACCATATGTATTGAGTATTTTTGAGATTTTAGTTATTTTTAGATAAGTTTGAGTAGTTTAGATATAAAATACCCTAACAGAATCAAGTACTTTAGTTACTTAGGTTAAAATTAGAACCCACCCGGAAGGATTCAATTTTTGTAATATCCGAATGGGCCCATTTTTCAGAACCCGAAAAAAACGATACCCGAATGGGTCATACTCATATCCGAACGTCCATGCCTAACCTTAAATATGTCTGGAGAGTATTTAGAATCCTCTTATTGTTCCTGATATTAGGAGTTTTCAAGGCTTCTAAAACAAATGTTGTAATATAAAAGATTGTCGAACCAGTTCTGAGAGATTTAAAAGCACTGAGAATGCAAGTACTAGCTTAATCTAAGTGCGATCATATGGTTGATTGGTTTTTTGAATTGTAACTAATATTGGATTGCATAAACAGAAAGCGATGAATGAATAAACTTTAACGATTAAGAGATGGGAGAACCCATGGGTATAGGGAATTTGACCTTGGATGATCAGTTTTCGAACTAGGAATGGCAAGCGATCAATTAAACTATCTACCTTAGGCCTAGACACAATTCTAAATAAGATCTATGTCTAGATGAATGTTCATTTGCTAATACAACTCAAACATCAAATATCTTTGGTTGAATATTATGAAAGCAATCACTAGGAGTGAGTCTACTAGCCATCTTAACACCTTTAACAACAAGTATCTTTGGTAAAGGATGTTAAAATCTTAGGAGAGTTGACTAAGACATTTCATTGAACACTTTGTGAGTGGAAAATGTCTAGAGATCAACTTTTGAGTGGCCAACTCAAAAGAGCATTAGGATCACTCTACAAGCAAGAAATAGAAGAAATATAAACTAAACATCCTAGTTCTAGACTAATCATTCTTAGTCTTCTAACCCATGAATTCAATGGTGATTTTCTCACTATACATCATGATTTCTCTTAAACCCATTTTAGATTCAAGTTTAATCATGTAGATGATGAAATAGACAAGTAAAAACAATGAATAATGAAATCAATGATCTTAAAAGATGAACTTTCCAATAGGTTTTCAAGTGTTTTCTTCAAGAACAAAGATAATCTGCCCATGGTGGCTTACAACTTAACTTAAACTTAGGTTTTTCCAACTCAGAACATAAAAAACAAAATTGCAAAAAGGTCCTTTAAACTGATGTTTTTCGTCACACAAAAGACGCGCAGCGGGGTCACTACACCGCTGCCAGGACCCCGCTCCAGAGCTCACAGCGGAGTCCGGACCCCGCTGCCAAGACCCGCTGTGCGATCTCTCTTTTTATCTTCAAAACGCGAGCGACCCCCTTACATCCGCTGCCGAACCTCCGCTGTGGTCTGGAGCGACCCCCCGGACCCGCTGCACGACCCCGCTCCGGCTGGTGTTGCTTGCAGCGACCTCTTGACTCCGCTGTGGTTGCTCCGGCTCGCCAAATGACACCTTTGCACCTTCTTTTGGCACATAATTGATCCCAAACACCTCCAGGAACTCCATAGCATGTTCCATGACCTGATAAAGACAAATGAATGCAAAATGCAACCTAAAAGTGCCTAAATCTAATCTATATGCTCAACATGAACAAGAATGCAAGGTTAAAACTAAGTAAATATGCAACATATCAACTCCTCCAAACTTGTCCTTTACTTGTCCTCAAGTGAGTTTTCAAGGACTTATGGAAAGAGAGATTTGAAGGTGGGAACTCATAACCAAGAGAAACACATCTAAGAGCTCAACTCAACATCCTAAAGAGACATTCCAAATAGCATGAACACACTCTCTTATCACACTCTAACTTCTCTAGGTCTATCAACACACTCTTATGCCTTTAAACAAGATGCAATACTCTTCAATTTACAAGTCTTTAAATCAGCCCTCACATTAGTTCACACACACACACACAAAGTGAAGTCTCACAAATGGGCACATGATCTCAATCATTTGGCTAGACAAGCAACATGTCTAATGAGAATGAAAAGGAGGGTTCAGATGCATCATTTTTAGTGACTATCACTCAAGAACAAGGTGCTTGATCAATATGCAAAATTTATCTAAGACTAGAGGCAACTGATACATACATAGTTTTATTCTCATCATTCTACCATTTCCTAAGTGATCACAATTTCTAACCCTTTATTTCTTCATCTCATACCCCAAATAGCCTTTGCTCATATCACTCACCCAATGAACAAGCACTTTCCCGGCAACGGCGCCAATTTGATATTAGAAGTTTTCAAGGCTCCTAAAACAAATATTGTAATATAAATGATTGTCGAACCAGTTCTGAGAGATATAAAAGCACCGAGAATGCAAGTACTAGCTTAATCTAAGTGCGATTATATGGTTGGTTGGTTTTTTGAATTATAATGAATCAAAAACTAAATTATATATATATATATATATATTATTTTTATTGTATATGAATAAAGTTTGGAAAATATTCATAAATTTAGATTCAATTCGTTATCCACTTTGATTTGAACCAAAAATATTGGATATCAGTAACTCTACGAAGCAAATCAAATACTAAAATATAGAAAATGAAATAAATCACTATATATCAATATTTTTTAATAAACGGATATCCAATTTGTTCTATTATATGCATATATATATATATATATATATATATATATATATATATATATATATATATATATAACCGGACTCACTTTTCATGCAGAGACTACCATGTTTACCGGGTCCGAACTGGTGTACTATCTCCTGTTTTAATATTACTTTAACTTAAAAAGTAACTAAAACACATTGACGACGACAAGAGCATCTCTTAAAAAATGATCTCACTTATCAAACCTCCAACGTCATTACCAACATATTGATCAAGGAACGGCATCAAACATCAAGAGAAGAGTCAATTGGTAAAATCTGTTTTAAGCCCCATATCTTGTGCGTTGCAAAAGCTGAAACTATACCGCAGGGTCCCTCCCATTGCTCTTGTGTTCTTGACACTGAGCCTTTTTGACAGATAAAACAATAGTCTCTACCTTTGTGACAATATGTTTCACACTCTGACAAGTTAGTTTTCTATTGTAATGGATGGCAAAGATACTAAATGTATCACACAGTAAAAAGGTTTGAATGAGGCTATCAAGCAGTCATCTGAAGAGTTTTACTAGGGAAGTACTTTAAGAACCAAGTCAACGGGAAGTATGTGTCTGAAAGGATACTCTGTTACGCATGAGTGCTTTTGATTCTGATGATGATTATTCTGGAGATGGAGAGGTTTAAAAAGATGGACCACACTCCAAAACTGAACCAGCCTGTGTAGGCTCTTAAGGTTACACAGAAGACAATTTACCATTTATTTGATCATTCATCAATAAAGTAATCTTTAAATTGTTTGATAAATTAAACGGAGAAACATAGAAGAAGAAGAAGAAATACAGACAAATCATTCCAAGTTATTATTAACAAGAGTTTTTACTCAAACACAAACGTGCAAGAACTTTGAACCTCTTTGGCCACACATTCCAACTCCTTCAATATCTCATGCTTCTCTGAGTAGAATGTCGCCTTTTTTAGACCACTAGCGTTGGCTAGAATGTACATTGCAGCCTCTCTCTCTTTCTCTGTGCCCTTGTATTGTCTCCACTCGAAGGTCTCAAGATGGGATGTTAAAGATTCAGGAACATGACTTGGTTGGTTCCATGAGTCTATAGTGTCGTCCTGGACACCGTGTTTCTGAAACTATAGGATAGATATAATAATACATTTTTTGTTACTACTGAATATAAAGTGGAGAAACAATACGTAAAGGTAGCAAAGGAGGAAAACCACATACCAACTTGAGCTTGAGAACTTGAAGCATCGGTGCAGCATTGAGTATAAGGGTAAGTAGATTCCACCACTCCAAAGAACATGTACAAATCTCTAGGTGTTCAAGAGAGAGGAAGGAAATGCCAGAAGGAGTCTGCAATCAAAGCAAAACAAAGAGAGAGAGTAAGAATTACAATGATAAGAAAAGCATAGATTGATTAGAGAGTCTGCAATCAAACCTGTGAAGTGAGAGAACACAGAGAAAGATATTGAGTCGAGGCAAGACATCCTAGAGGTTGGTCGGAAACAACGCTGACACTCGCCTTAACCAGCTCAGGCATATCTTCAAACTGTAAAAAATTGCTGAACCTGTCTTTAATGGTAAAGCATCTCAAAGAAGGTGTTCTAATCACAAACCCATGAACACCTTCAGGCCTAGACTTCCCACTAGAGTTATCAATACATAAACTCCTCAACGTACCCACATCAATAGTGAACACCTTCACATTAGTAAAAGAGATTCTTCTCACCACCAAATCTTCAAGAACAGGGCATCTGCTTAAAAGCCTCTCCACAGATTCATCGTTTGAGAATCTAACAGACAATAGTTGGAGACATTTGAGGCAAACCAAAGGAGCATCAAGTGGAACATCCACCAGAGTCGCCTTCTCGATTATAACCGTTTCAAGTTGTGAATAAACAAATAAGCTTTTAGGCAACTCAAAGACACTGCAAATCATGTGGACGCTGAGCTTTCTCATAGATCGAGTTACTGCAAGGTTAACCAAAGTTATGATGGGTCCGTTCACGTAAGAAGGGTCGATCTTGAGATCCAAGCTCTCTAGGTTTGAGAGGTTGGTGATGAACAGTAGGAATCTCCTGTAATCTCTACTTGTTGATCTACCATCGTACCTGAATGTGTTGAGCTCTTTCCAGAGAGATCTCCACTGGCTTGACAAAACACTTGTGGCCACGGCGTCTTTGCTTGGAAGACAAGTTAGGATCTTTAACAACACTTCATCCGGAAACTCACTGATTGATGATCGAGTCTCACTGAGTTCGTGTTCCCTAGTATTCATCCGGAAACAATTCATGGTCGTTGACTCGGTTCCCACAGAGATCGAATTCAGACAACAATCATCAAATTTGAGGAGACTCAGAAAACGTGTTCCCTAGTTTTTTGGGTGAAAAGATTACTAAAATAGAAGACTTTTTGTTTTAGGTCTCTTTGAGTATGTTTTAATATTTATAATAATACCACTATATTTAAATGTTAATTAAAAACTTTGGGAAAATATTTGAAATATTCATATACGATTTTTCTAATTAACTACTAACTAGAGTTTCACCCGCACATCCGTGCGGGTATATTTTTCATTTTATAAATATATAACTAATTTTTTTTAATATATGATTTATATTTTAGTTTTAATTATAATCATATCTAATAACGAAATAAAGAAATATTTATTTTGTAAAAAAATATTTAAAATTTTTGGTAAGATCTTGTTAGATTTTTTCAACAGATTTTGTTATATTTAAATTTATTTATTATTAATGTTCTTATTAGTTATTAAGATATTGTGAAAATCATATATATTTGACTGGTTAATGTAACAATAAAATATGTCAATTAAGTAATTAATAACATGGTCCAATATGACTTCTAAATAGTAGATAAATTTGGTACTTCTCTTTTAATAGAGAAGATATCCCTTATAAATTGCTCATATTTCACAATATTATATTTAAGTAGGAAAATTTAAGAAATTATTGATCATCTTAAATGGTTAGTATGTAACACCTGTAAAAAAGGATAATGTAACATTTGTACCCAAAAAAAAAATTAATCATATAACATTCAGTTAACCAATTGTATTAAAGCATGAAAATGAAAATATAGTCTATCTATACTTTTAAGAATGACATATCAGTTCATTTTAATAATTTAACTGACGTACAAAATCTTATTAGAATTTCAATCAATATATAAATACTACCAATTTATAATATATATCTTACAATAAACATATTTTTTAATTTCTTAAAAAATCATTATTTGTCTATGATTTTATCAGAATTTAGTTAAGAATAATTTTGAAAATAATATTTTACTAACCAAAAATTTTCAAATAATACATTAACAAAATATATTTCCAAACAATCTAAGCATGTTTATCCCTTGATCCTTAAGTAGGTTTCTTAATAATTATTTAATATGTTATATATATTTAAGTGGACTTAAGAACTCTACTTAAGAAACTCCCATTTTGAACGGTCCAATGGGAGTTTCTTAATTTAGGGTTCTTAAATATTTTTTTTAAAAGATAAATTTATTTATTAAATAAAGCATATTAAAATAAAACATTTAAAACATTATTTAAAAAAAAACATAAAAACAAAAGATTAGTAAAAGGTATGAGGTATATTAATAGAATGTACAAGGTTTTGTTAAAGTGAGATCGTATAAGTGACAAAATCAGCATGAAACGTTTGTGACCCACAGCGTGAAAAATATTATTATGTATTGTTCAATATCTGCCAACTGAGTCACATGAAACGTTCAAATATTATTTGTAAATGAAGTGAGATCAACCCAAGATGGGGTCACTGATATAAAAATAAGAAGCTTACTTGATCTGGTCAGGAGAACCGCCAGACGTTGCATTTGATACTGTCCATGCAGCTTCTTTCTTTATATCAAACTCTGCATTCTGAAGCAGAATGACGAGGGGGCAAATCAACCCCGCTTCACACACAGCCTGCATTACAGAAAAAATATTAGACAAGATGAACACATAAATCTCTGAACACATAAAATTTCTATTTAAACAACAAAGGCCTTCTTAATGCTCTTGTCAATAACATACAATATTCAGTAAACGTTTACCTGAATCTAGTCCTGTTTCCAGCAGTGATGTTTGAGATTGTCCAGCAAGATTCCTTCTTAATGCTCTTCTTATGGTTGTGAAGCAGAAGGCTCAAAATGCCAAGGAGAGCACCATGACTAATTACACACTGCAGTATAAAAATTCATCAGCTCAGAGCCAACCAATAAAAAGTAAAAGAATTATGTAGATCCCATCCTAGAAGTAAATCTCAATTCAACTTTAAAGATTAATGATATGAGCACAATTAATATATTACTAGGACAGCCTAACACATTCTCAGATTCTAGTACATGGAACTCACAAAACAACACATGATTGATTTATCATCACCACTGAATAAATAGAATTCATAGATTCACAACTAACATTAAGAAAAATTAAGGCTGCATGAACTAAGAACAATTACAACATAAGAAGTGAGAATGATTGTACCTTGACACGCTTAGTAGAAGCGACTCGTTGGACTTTATGAACAAACTGATCAAACGAGTAGTAAGGTAGCAGATGAGAGTACCACTCACTGTACATCCTTGTCAAATTCCCCAAATCAATCAACAAAGCTTAAACAACCAATTCATCTATGATAAGTAACAAAGCTAAAAGAGAGAGAAGCGTGATATCGAACAAAGAACTGAAACAAGATGGTGAAGCGAGCTAGAGGAGAGATACAGTCTTGCTGCAAGGGCCAGTGATACCTCCGGCGAGGAGATTCTCGACGGTGCCGAAACGCGACTGCGGCGGCTGTTTTTGCGATAAACTCAGGTCACATGAATTGGAGGAGATTGGATTGCAGATTGAGATTGGAGAGATCGACATGGGAGAGATCGACAGAGGAGAGAAAGAAGAAAAGGAAAAGAAAAGAGAAAAAAAAAATGTTTTGTTTGCTGACACGTGTTCCTAAAAACTCTTTAAAAATCGGTAACGGAAGTCACCATTTAAGGATCGGTAATTGCTATTTTCTTTTATTTTGATTTAATTAAATGTACTTAAAAGTCTAAGAAACCCATTAAGGATTACCGATAATCATGGTCTAAACTAATAGGTTTCACTTTTCAATAGTTTTTAATATAAAGTACAGATTAAGACGTTTCTTTTTTTAATAGTTTTTTTAAGTTACCATTAAGATAGAAGACTTTTTAGGTCTCTTTGATATGCTTTAATATTTACAACAATACTATTTATACTATCAAAATAGAAGACTTTTTAGGGCCCCTTGATATTTTTTTTAATATTTACAATAATACCATCTACACTATTAAATAGAAGACTTTCTTAGGTCCCCTCGATATGTTTTAATATTTACAATAATACCATCCTCTATATATAATTGAGAAATATTTGAAAAAGTTGTAATCTTAAGTTTGTATTAATTAAAAACATTATCTTACGTGGCACCTCCTTATGCATTATATTTCAGTTTAGAAGGATTCTAGTGCACTTCATATAAAGTATAGTTTTTACACAAGGTATTTTGGTCTCATATAAGACATATCAAACTAAATAACATATCAAACTAAATCTCCTATATATTCTTTCCTTAAATAAAACATATGGAATTACCTAATGTGATTAAAATATATATGACTATTAATGATTTAAATAATAAATATTTGTTAACAATCTGTATACTTTATAGCATTTTTGTTTATTTTTATTTTTAAAATAAATTACATAACTACACTAATCATATAATAAAATTTTAGTTTTTTTATATATGTTGTATTTTGAAATTTTTAAAACGAGAGTAAATTACTAAAACATGTACATATATATATTTGTGATCACGGACTAATTTTTTTTAAATAAATTACAATGATTATAAATTTATATGAATAAATAATTTTATTTTAATAGGTTATTATGTGAGGAGATATATATATATATATATATATATATATCTCATATCATATGAATAAATAATATTATTTTTAAAATATTATAATTTAAAATATAACTTAATTTTTTATAAAAAAATTTTTTTTTTTTAAAATACAATTTTCTGATATTATTTGACAAATAAATAAATTATATTAAATTAATTTTGAAAATTTATACTCCCTCCGTTTCATATTAAGTGTCATTGTAGAGAAACTTTTTCGTTACAAAATAAGTGTCGTTTTCGGTTTTCCATACAAAATTTATTAATTTTCTTATCAAAAACTCACAGTGATGCAGCATACCAATCTTAACTTTTCACATGTGAGCTCTTCACGGCCATACATGTAGATCAATTGGTGACAAGTTGTCTTGTGGAAAATTGTTAAAGGGTGTGTGGTCTTGGATTCGAGAAACGCCAAGTGCATCAATAATCTACATGTATGACAGTGAGAAGTCATATGTGAGAAACGCCAAGTGCATCATAGATCTTTTGGCCGCGCTACGCGCGGCTAGTCTCCTAAACAAAATTTTCTATCATATTGTTTATATAGATGATATATTTTATAATTAAACTTATAATTAAAATCAGAAGAAATAAAATGTCAAATTAAATAGAAAATATAACGATTAACAAAATCATTGTAAAGTACGAATTTCATAAGTAATACTAACAATGAACAAATTTTTTTTTATAAAATATATTTTTTTCTAGTCTTTTTAACAGAACGCTCATTTTAACTTTGGTATAAATAAATTACATAATAATTACTGTAATATTTTAATCTGTAATTTTATATTTTCTATCTTCAAAATGTTAATTTGGTAGAAAATAATCTCTATCAAAATCTGAAAATTAAGTATATAAAATGAATTGACTTTAATTTAAATTTAAAATGATCTTATATAAATTTAAGATTGTATATATTTTGTTGTTAGGAATAATGTTTATTTATTCTATTTATTTATAAACTGGATGATATTAATTTATCTTGCCATCAATGTTTTGACCAATCCAACTGAATTATAGCTTTAATTTAATTTTAAATTATATATATGTATAACTATAAATTATTTTATAAGATTTTTTTATCATTGTTTGAAGCTAAAATAACCTTTTCAGTGATTAATGTAAAATGAATCATTAGGAGAAAATGAATCGTGAATTTTGTTTCTGTTCTTTTTTTCATAAACACGATAATAATGATTGACTTACTTTTCTTTTTCTTGTTAATGGTGAGGATGTTTTCTATCCATTGTCTAAACTTATAGAATTTTTTTAAAACTGTTACATATTGAAACAAAAAAATATAATTCGTTAAAATAACGCCCTTCCATATAACATATACAATAACATAAAAGCAAGTGATATAATTCAAAAATTATTATAATTTTACTTATTTTTTGTTTTGTTTTGTGAAAGAGTTACTAATTTTACTAAAATCTTACTTGCTATCAAATTATTTTCTCCACTTTTTATTGATCAATTTTCTTATGCCAAAGTTGTATAGCTATTCTTTGTTATAAGAAAAAAAATAAAATATGAATATCTCATAGTACATCAACAAATGTTTTTATTGATAACTTTAAATAGTCAATACTCTCATACCAATTAATTAGTCTATTCTAAAGTGTCTCTAAAGAATAAAAGCTGATACAACTTTAATAAAAAAATAACATACTAACTGCATTATTTTAGTTAGGTGACCAAGCACCAACAATTTTTTTTTTGTAACACGACCGAGCACCAACACATAAATTACATTTATTCGACAATACTTCGTAGCTTTTGCTGAAAAAGGTTGGACCTTTGAGTTTTGTATGTCATATTGAACAAAATGGGACCACGTGAATTTTCAACTGAAAGATGAAATAAAAAGCAAGTCTATGGATTCAAAATAATTTTAAGTCTCTGAAATCTCAAACTGAAGTTGACTCCTTTCTTCCTCGCTTTCAAAATCATTCAACTTTTTCTCTCTAAGTCTCAGTTTCGTTCTACACTTAACCAGGAGCATAAAAAGAGAAAGAGAAGCTAAATCAGAGAACCTTATTCTCATATCTCAATCAATGCCAGTTTCTGTGTCTGCTGCATACTTGTCTTCTTATCTCCCACACCAGCAACAATTTTCCACTGTATCCATCTCTCTTTTCTGTCATTTTACTGGATTTTGTTGGTGAATGTTGTCCTCGAGCTGTCACTGGCATAAGGAATCTAACATTGATAAGTATAAGAGGTCCAATGTGTATTCTTACAGATCTAAGAGACGATAAGAAACTCCCAATAAATTATCCAGGTGATTACACAGTCTCTTCAGAACATGTATATGTATCCTTACTATTCTTTTTCGATTGTATAATCAGAAACATCTTTTTAAATCAAGAATTTATAAACTCAAAAAGATTATTTCTTCCCTAGGGTGAAGACTAAGAAAAGAGATAGGGGCATTCGTATATACAGTGTGCAGGTCAAAAACTCAGTAGGTGTTACAGCTAGATGCGGCGGTGACAACTGTAAGAGAGTGGAGAAGATAATAACAGCACCTACCATTTCGTCAATTATGAGTATCTCTAGGCCCATCACTCACCGCCATTTGACGTTACGCGTCTCCTACAAACAAAGAAGACGGTTGGCAGCCTGAGAACAATGGTTGGGTTCAACTCTTAAGCAGGAGCTGACAGACAGGGGCAGTCCCAGCTGAGCCTCTTCGATTTTCACTACTACTGCTGAAGTGTCTGTAAGTCTACTCGCTCCTTCCTCCTGCCGAAGATTATCAAAACCAAGAGAAGTCATTCAAATTCAGTAAACTATCCAGAAGATACTCAAGATTATCTACATCAAACAAATAAAAACATATGTGAATTCTACCATATGTGAATTCATCCAGTTATACCAATGAAAAGATATAGAAAACTAAGCACGCCATAAGAAATTATCCAGGAAAAGTTAGGCTTTTACAAAATATAACTAATAACTGATAATTGATATGTAACCCCATTGAAGAGAACCATTAACTTATACAAAAGATAATGATAATTATCCAAACCTATTGAATTCGATTTTCAAAGCTATAAAATAACACATACATAGACAATGTAAAAGCTGAAAAGTTGGAAGCTTTAGAGTGGAGATAATAACTTACACGAAGACGGTCAGCGAGAACAGAAGGCTTCATCAATTTGAACATAGGGACTTCAGACCGAACCTTGTCGGTAGTTTCCTGATCGAAGAGAAACAATTGTTCAGCTTCTGGTTTTGCTTTCCTTAGCTCCATTAATGTCTGGAAGTAGCAACAAATACCTAAAGAGAAGGTTTTACAAAAACAAAAGACTGCATACTCGACTTAAATACGGAAAAAGTAATGAGACTGCAACGTTTTTGATTGAAACCGAATCGATCTATTGATTTAGAGAATATGTCTGGTTGCGTAACAGTGGAGATGTTCATCGCATTCTACAAACAAATATATAAGCGGAGCTTATAGCGTTACACTTGACAATGGTGATGCAGATTAAATGCAAAAAAGTGGGAGGAGTGATGTGAACCATGTAAATACCTGATTTCATACGACAGAACAATGATATGATGTAGCCGTTACTCAGGCTTGGCTGGAGCCGATGTGATCTCAAGAGGCACGACAGGCTTGGCCTCTGCAGATCACCCATAACGTTGTCCATTCTCAAGCACCACCGTTACCTGAACAAACAAAACCCATTAAAAACATTTATTTTAGCAAAAAAAACCAATAGCCTTTTTAAGTATATATCACTCAGTCACCACCTTATCTCCAGAGTCTTCAAAATCAACAACATTACTCTCATTTCTAATAATCTCTTCCCCAACCGCACATGCTAAGATCTGCTGCAGTTTCATTCTACTAATCACCCTAGTCACAGGAAGTCGACGTGTAGCCGCATGAGTGAAAGTATCAAACTTTACATACATAATATTTAAAATTCAACGAAACAAAAATTCACTAATATTGTCCAACAACAAATGACATCAACTTGACTATACAAAAACTCACCAAGTACCAGAGACACCATCAACCAGACCATTAATCCGATCACCAGATTCACCAGTGATACAACCAGCTTCCATAACTTCTTCAGCGACACTAATATCAATAGCTTTCAAAGAAGCCAAGGCGTTGCTCTGTATCTGAATCGGACCTTTGTACTGTCCTTCTCCTCTTATAGCGCTCAGATCCTTCTCGAACTCTGGTAACAACTAATAAGATTATGAACCCAAACCATCAATGACAATAAGGAGTGGAGAGGAGTGGGAGAAAATTGATTGTAGGTGAATTGAAGACGGTGAAACGAAGAACTGGAAGAAGTTGAAGAGAAAGAGTCTCCGATTAGCTTTTGGAAAATTACCGTTCCTAATTTTAAGTGGTGCTCATACGGGCCACTGGGAAATAGAAATTATCTGGGCTCATAAGTTTAACGACCCAACTCCCGGACACCAAAAGCAAGCTCACTCGAAAGCTATTCTGTTGCTGAGTTGGACGAAGTAAGAGCTCCTATTGGTCAAATATAAAATCCTACGTGGGTTAATGAGAGGGAAGGATATCCCCCTTTTATTATAGTAAGATTACAGTGATATATATAGTAAACTATCCATACAATTTTATTAGAACATCTGTCAAAACAAACTTAATTTGTTGATATCCAAACATCTAACAAATTTATTTATTACATATTAATATTTAAAATTTCTTACCATAAAATATGCTTTCTTAATTACTGAAACATATTATTTTCTATCTTACATTCTCCTCCTTGGATAAGTGTTTTCATAAAAAAATAATACTTGTATTTGTTACCTTCAATTGTATTTCCATCTCTTCTATGAAATTGTACTTTTAGTGAGAATAATAATAATTTTTATTTTTTTCAAGAGAAAATTGTTGTTATTAATAAATTATTTTAGTTTGAAAAATAAAAACTAAAATCTAAACAACCATTCAAGATTTTCAGAAAAGTAAAATCTAAAGCAAAACCAAAATTAAAAGTTAAACAGCAATGTTGGGGTCAAAATCGGTACGACGGAATTAATAGCCAAAATTTCTCGCGAAAATACAAAAAGAGCAGTTTTATAAAACCCGAGGACTAGTTTTATAAAACTCAAAGTCATTTATAGAACTCGTAGACTGTTTTATAAAACTCGAGAAATCGTTTTATAAAACTCGAGAATCGTTTTATAAAACTCGAAGATCGTTTTATAAAATTCGAAGATCGTTTTATAAAACTCGAAGATCGTTTTATAAAACTCGAGAAATCGTTTTATAAAACTCAAAGATCGTTTTATAAAACTCGAGAAATCGTTTTATAAAACTCGAGAATCGTTTTATAAAACTCGAAGATCGATTTATAAAACTCGAAGATCGTTTTATAAAACTCGAGAATCGTTTTATAAAACTCGAAGATCGTTTTATAAAACTCGAAGATCGTTTTATAAAACTCGAGAAATCGTTTTACAAAACTCGAGAAATCGTTTTATAAAACTCGAAGATCGTTTTACAAAACTCGAGAAATCGTTTTATAAAACTCAAAGATCGTTTTATAAAACTCGAAGGTCATTTTATGAAATCCGAAGATCGTTTTATAAAACTCGAGAATCGTTTTACGAAGCCGCAAAAAACCGAAAAAGCCGTAAAACGCGAACTAGTCGCAACTAGTTCGCCCATCGGCGAACTAGGAAGTGATCAACTAGTTCGCCCATCGGCGAACTAAGCCGGCCCGGCTTAGTTCGCCGATGGGCGAACTAGAGACCTCCCAGACACTCCGCGTCTCGATTTCCCGCATTCCCGATTCGAAACTTACGTCTTTCGACAAGGTCGCGTTCTAAACCACGGCCGAAATATCTCCCGTTCCATCTCGATCCGACTTACCATTCGAGTTTTACGATAAAAACCGTAAAACTTTGTTTTCTCGGAAAGAACTCGAGGAAATCGTATAAAACGGCAACGATTAAACGAAACACCGAACATTGCCTAAACTATACGATTTATTCGAGATTTCTCGTTGAAATCATAAAAAACGTGCTTTTAATAAAAAACGCCGAGTAAGTCGTAAAAATGTGTTTTTAATAAAAAGTCGAGTAAATCGTAAAACTTTGCGATTAACTCGAGAAATTTATTAAAAACGACGTCAGATCAGGAAACGATCCCGTAAAAAGTCAGAAAACGGTTTTTATCGCAAAACGGCCCGGAAGGACCTAAAACGCGATAAAAACCCATCTCGCGATTTCAACGAAATCTAACCTGCAGATTTGATAACGTTTTGACGATTTACTCGCAGAAGGAAAATAAAAGTCAAGTTTAAAGATAAATGGAAGGTTTGAAGAGAAATAGAAGATTTCCGTGGAAGAAAAGGAAGGATCAAGAAGAATGGAAAATTCCCGATTTAGTCAAATCTGGACGAAATGGAAAGATCGGATAGCCAAGGCGAGGAGTATATAAATAGGAGGTCTAGGGCATAAGCAGCAAACATGAATTTCAGAGCTCTCACCACCAAAACTAGCATTTAGGAATATTTCCGTTTTTCTGTTAGCGAGCTGCGTCTCCATTAGGGTTTTCGTTCTTAAGCTTTTCGGCTACTCTTTTGTACCAGTTCTACGCAGATTCGGAATAAGAACCTCTTTGCTCTCTATTTTGTTTATTTTCATTCAAATTCTAAGTTATCGTTTTCTTATTTTTCGTTGTGCGGTTCTCGCAGATAGCCGGTTCCTCTGGAAACTTAGGGTTTTCCCGAAGTTTCCTTATTTACGATTATTTGACAGTAGGTGGAAATCGACACCCACAAGCAAAATCTAGGATTTTAAAAACAAAAAAGAAATATAAAAAGGGCAATTCTCTAAAATAGCCATATTTTAAGTTTTTATCACAAAAATAGACCTCAACAATTAAAATGACCAAAATAGCACTTTTTATTTTGAAAATTTTAAGTTTTCTTAATTTTTTAAATTCGAAACCTTATCCCAAAACTCTACTTCTCAACTCTAAACAAAAAATCTAGGATTAGTTAAACCAAAAGGTATAAATGTATATTTAATAAAACATTTAAGTACTATTTTGGTCATTTTAATTGTTAAGGTCTATATCTGTGATAAAAACTTTTTTCGGGTCTATTTTAGTCGTATTCTCTTTTCTCAAAAATCAATTAACAATCATCACCCGAGTCGATTTTTTTTTTTTTGGTTCTACTTTGCCTCGTAAAAGTTCGAAACGGCGTCGTCTCCATCTCAGAGTTTAGAAAATATCAAATTGCATCGAACTCCTTTACCCTTTTAGTACCCCCAATTCACATCTATCTAGGGTTTCGTATTTGTCTCTTCCTCGAGGAATCGATCTTGCGCAATAACAGGTATCATTCGTTGCTTCAGAACAACAACTTTAATCTCTACCAAATTTTCTCAAAAACTGTGAATTAGGGTATTTACTCGAGTCGTGGTTCTGCTTTTTTTTTTTTTTTTTTTTGAATCTGTAGAATCGCAAGTTATGGGTTTTCGATTCTTTAGATTACCAATTGAGTTTATTTTGTAAAAAGTTGGATCCTTGTGGGTATTTTTCGAGATTGAACATAAAAGTATTGATCTTTTTTATTTTTGTGTATGTAGCCAAAGGTGATTAAGCAATGGGGAAGAGGAAGTCAAGGGCAAAGCCTGCTACAACGAAGCGAATGGACAAGCTTGACACTGTCTTTAGCTGTCCTTTTTGCAATCACGGCTCTAGTGTCGAATGCCAAATGTAACATATCTTTCTGTACCTTTAACGAATCACACACAATATGAGAATTGAAGAAGTCTTTTTTTTGATTTTTTTCTTTCAGTAATATGAAGGAGATGATTGGTATTGCCACTTGTAGAATCTGTGAAGAAAGCTTTAGCACTACTATCACAGGTTTCGAATCTTTCTTCATGTGAATTTATATATAATCAGTTTTTGCTTTACATAGTCTCTGATCATTCTTTTGTGTTCTTGCAGCTTTGAGTGAAGCTATAGACATGTAAGTACACTATCTTATCGAGTTCTTGTTGTTCTTCTTATTTCACCCTGTTTTTTTTTTTGTTTCTAAGTCTCTCGGTAATGACTGCAGCTATAGCGAGTGGATTGATGAGTGCGAGAGGGTCAATACTGTGGAAGATGATGTTGAGCAAGAAGAGGAAGTGGAGGAAGAAGAAGTGTATGAAGAAGAAGAAGAAGAAGAACCGGAAGATGATGGTGAAGATGAAGATGAACGTGCGTCTGTTAAAAGGAAGTTTAACTACCGAGATGACTAATCTTTTTTATCAGAAAACCATGCAAGTCCTTTTTAGACATTGCCTTTTATGTTGTAATATCTACTGATACTCAGTTTTTATCTATCACCCTTCGTTTTCTTTTGTTTTCCATTTGCTGAAAACAGTAAATCTCATCTCTGTACACATGATAAAACGTAACCAAGATCAAGAAGAAGATGAGGTTAGTCAAGTTTAGAACCGTCAAGAACAAGGAATAATAATCATTCGTGAGATAGGCGGTTTGAGATTAGTTAAAGCTTTCTGAAATTGAACCACCTTGATCTGAATTTGTTTCTCTGTACGGTTAGAGGTCAGCTCATTTCAATATGCCCAGGACCGGCTCATCCAAAAGCATTTTAAACCCACCAATTACCAAACTCCTAAGACTGACCCTGGTATTACAATAGACAATTTAGGAAAAAATACAATAAGAAATTGTTTTTACAAATTCTGGGAGTCTCTTTTAATGTAACTTTTTTTAAAAAATATTTGGGAGCTTGACTGGCCTATGCTCAAGATGAGTCCTACAAACTCCTTAAACATGGTCATTCTTCACATTTGTCTCTCTATATGAAAGTGCAAGAGTAAAGGTTGTTAGGCTAATATCGCCAATGTGTTAAAAAAAAAAAAAAAAAAAAAAAGCTAATATCGCCTTGGGCTAACTCCAAAATACACATTTGGGCCCAATAAGGCCCACATAACTGTACATCTGTCTCGAAAACGGGATCTTAGGTCTCTTCTTCGTCTTCTTGACGCTACTTTCCCCTCTTTTTCAAAACCACTAAAATCCAGAAAACAAAAAAATCTCCAAACATCGAGCGAAATTAAAGTCACGAATTTTCGAGATGAGGAGCTTTTTCAGTAGAGGAGCGAAAGAGTCTCCGTCTAACTCCGCTTCCCCGTCACCGAGATCATACCCTTCGACGTCTCCGGCTTCGTCTTCTGCAGTGACGGGACCACCGAGACCTATCCGGCTAGTGTATTGCGATGAGAAAGGAAAGTTCCGGATGGACCCTGAAGCAGTTGCCACTCTGCAGCTTGTCAAGGAGCCCATCGGTGTTGTCTCGGTTTGTGGTAGGGCTCGTCAAGGCAAGAGCTTTATTCTCAATCAGGTAATGGGTCATTCCATTTTTGCCCCTTTAAGTGTTCGTTTGATTGATTTTGTGTACATTGTGTCGAGTCCTGGGGTTTTTGAAAAATTAGGGTTTCGTTTGATTGATTGATTTTGTGTACATTGTGTGGAGGTCTAGGGTTTTTGGCAATTATGGGTTTGTCTTTTCTCGAAATGATTTTGTGATGTTGCTTTTTTTTGTTGGTAGCTTCTTGGAAGAAGTAATGGGTTTCAAGTAGCGTCAACACACAAGCCGTGTACCAAGGGGCTTTGGTTGTGGAGTTCTCCTATCAAACGAACTGCTCTTGATGGATCTGAGTATAATCTCTTGCTCTTAGATAGTGAAGGGATTGATGCTTATGACCAAACGGTGAGTAAAAACTTATAGTGAACATTTTTCTGGTTTCTTTGACATGTTCTGATTCAGTTTCTTTCCAATGTGATGATACAGGGTACCTATAGCACTCAGATATTCTCGTTAGCTGTTCTTTTGTCAAGCATGTTCGTATACAATCAGGTTTGTTTATGTTACAGTTCTTACTTGTACATATATGTATGCCTTAGATGTTGTTTTGTGCTTAGTTGTTGTTCTGTTTTGTATGTTTCAGATGGGAGGTATTGACGAAGCTTCACTCGATCGCCTCTCTCTTGTCACTCAAATGACAAAGCATATCCGTGTCAAAGCGTCTGGAGGAACGAGTTCACGTTCTGAACTTGGACAGTTTTCTCCCATCTTTGTCTGGCTCCTCAGGGTAATCCTCTGCTATTTTTTTATGTAAAGTTTTTTTGTACACCATGACGTACAGATGCATATGTATTAACCTTGATATATTTACTTGCAGGACTTTTATTTGGACCTAGTGGAAGATAACCGCAAGATTACTCCGCGTGACTATTTAGAAATTGCGTTAAGGCCGGTTCAAGGTAGTGGAGGAGATATTGGTGCTAAGAATGAGGTAATGGCTGCATATGCTATATTTTTGCCATGTTCATTTTGATAGTCATGAGTCATCCACTCTTGAGAAAGCTGGGTGTGGCGATCAAGTTGATTGTTTTTACTAAAAAAATGGTGATTCATTGTTAATGAGAACAATGGTTTTACAGATCCGAGATTCGATCCGTGCACTTTTTCCAGACCGAGAGTGTTTTACCCTTGTAAGGCCTTTGACCAATGAAAAGGACCTCCAGAGACTTGATCAAATTCCGGTTAGTATCATTTTTGTACTCTCCTTCACTTATTATACTAAGCTAAAAGGTTTGGATGTTTGTATAATGCTTGGTTACATAAAATCCGGTGTGTCTATGCAGTTGGAAGATTTGAGAGGTGAATTTGCTGCTGGCCTTGATGCTTTGACCAAGTTTGTTTTTGAGAAGACGAGGCCCAAACAGTTAGGGGGTACTGTGATGACCGGTCCTATACTTGTTGGTATTACACAATCCTATCTGGATGCGTTGAATAATGGTGCTGTGCCAACAATAACCTCATCTTGGCAGGTTTGATATCTCTTGCCACTGTGGATGTTCGAAATATTTAAAGTCAAAAGCCATTTATTTTCATAAATGGCTAAAAAAAACTGAGACTGGAAGGATTTGACTGGATATATCGGGGTATACTTTACATAATGTAGACATACGGTTGACTATTGCGTTCAGGCAGTTGTGTACTTTGAAACCATCGCGGGGATCAGTTGGGATGTTTTTACTATTGCATCATCTTACTTATTTTCTCTCAATGTACTTCATAAATTGATTTTTCTTGATTATGTTCTTGTAGAGTGTGGAAGAAACTGAGTGTCGAAGAGCATATGATTCTGGTGTAGAAGCTTATTCAGCTGCCTTTGACCAATCAAAAGCTCCTGAAGAAGTAAGTACTCGTCCTTAGCCACCCGTTATTTGTAAGTTATGACTATGATTCATACCAATTCTAATATATAGGGTGCACTGAGGGAAGAACACGAAGAAGCAGTTCGAAAAGCCTTGGCTATGTTTAACTCCAATGCTGTAGGGGCTGGTTTAGCTAGAAAAAAATACGAGGATCTTCTTCACAAGGACTTGAAGAAAAAATTTGCGGTAATAAACTCTAAAACAGTGCTATGCAGTAATAAAGTACTTCTTTATTGAAATCGTACTGTTTTAGTTACATTTCTCGTTTTATCAACTCCCACATGAATTTCCTCTTCTAACTGCGTTATGCTGCTGATATAGACTATCTTTTCTTGATTCAGGATTACAAAAGAAATGCATTCATGGAGGCAGATTTGCGATGCACGAGTACTCTCCAGAGCATGGAGAAACAGCTGAGAGCAGCTTGCCATGCCTCTAATGCTAATATGGATAATGTTGTCAAGGTTGGTTATTTGTGGATATAAATTTTTGTCTAGATGTACCAGGGATGGAAGTTCCCGAGATTTTAGTTTGTTGCTGATGGTTTTACTTATGGGCCGATTGTGTTTCAGGTTCTAGAAGCTCGTTTGTCAGATTACGAAGCAACATGCCATGGCCCAGGGAAATGGCAGAAACTTTCTGTGTTCTTGCAACAAAGGTATTTACTACTAGTCCTCCTCCCCCATCTGATTTTGATTTACGTGTACGTTTCTTTAGAGGTTTGTTCATATATTTTACCCATTTTTATTCTCGATTTTTATTCATGCAGCTTGGAAGGGCCGATATATGATCTCACCAAAAGGCTTGTAGATAATATCGCTATAGAGAAAAACTCACTTGCAGTGAAATTCCGTTCTGTTGAAGATGCCATGAAACATCTAAAGCAGCAGTTGAATGATAGCGAGAGATACAAGCAGGAATACCAGAAACGTTATGATGAATCCAACATCGACAAGAAGAAGCTGGAAGATATATACAGAGAACGCATAACTAAACTACAGGGAGAGAACAGTTCACTGAATGAGCGATGCTCCACTTTGGTTAAAACATTGGAATCTAAACAAGAAGAAATCAAGGAATGGAAAAGAAAGTACGACCAGTTTGTTTTGAAACAGAAAGCTGTTGAAGATCAGCTTAAATCTGACATGGAAGTCCTGAGGACTCGAAGTACTACTTCTGAAGCTAGGCTTTCTGCAGCTAGAGAACAAGCCAAATCCGCTCAAGAAGAGACAGAGGACTGGAAAAGGAAGTATGATTATGCTGTGGGAGAGGCGAGATCTGCTCTTCAAAAGGCTGCTTCAGTGCAAGAACGTTCAGGCAAGCAAACACAACTGAGGGAAGATGCTCTTAGGGAGGAATTTACATTGACTTTAACTGAGAAGGTATCTTTCTTTGTCCTATATGTTAACGAGACGACTTTAAGATATCTAACCATCAATATGCGGTGTTAACTGATTTTAGGATGAAGAAATTAAGGAGAAGACCACAAAGATTGAGAAGGCAGAGCAGTCTCTAACGGTTCTAAGATCAGAGTTAAAGGTGAGCTTTTTGATATGATAGTATATATATATATATATATATATATATATATATATATATATATTATATGAGATATCTATCTGTTAGTTGTCGCTCCATACATTATTCTATCCTTATGGATCTAAGCTTGTTGTGGTGTCTTTTGCAGGCGGCAGAGTCAAAAATCAGAAGCTTCGATGTGGAAACAGCATCACTGAAATTGGAGTTAAGGGAAATGATTGATAGGTTAGACAGTGCCAACACAAAGGCTCTAGCATATGAAAAAGAGGCAAACAAGTTGGAACAGGAGAAAATCCGTCTGGAGCAAAAGTACCGATCTGACTTTGAAAGATTCGATGAAGTCCAAGAGAGATGCAAAACAGCTGAAATCGAAGCTAAACGTGCTACTGAGATGGCGGACAAAGCACGAGCTGATGCCGTCACTTCCCAAAAGGAGAAAAGTGAGAGTCAGAGCTTGGCAATGGAAAGACTTGCTCAGATCGAGCGAGCTCAGAGACAAATCGAGAACTTGGAGAGGCACAAGACAGACTTGGAAGATGAACTGCACAGACTTCGCGTGTCTGAGATGGAGGCTGTGTCCAAGGTTACAGTCTTGGAAGCAAGAGTCGGAGAAAGAGAGAAAGAGATCGAGTCATTGTTAAAGCTAACCAACGAACAGAGGGCGCATAACGTGAAGTCGTTGGAGAAGCTGTTGGATGAAGAGCGTAAGGCTCATATAGCCGCAAACCGAAGAGCTGAAGCTCTTTCTCTTGAGCTGCAAGCTGCACAGGCAACCGTTGATAATCTTCAGCAAGAATTAGCTCAAGCTAGGTTAAAAGAATCTGCACTAGACAACAAAATCAGAGCTGCGAGTTCTACACGTGGTAAACGGACCAGAATGGAAGATGCTGTTGATATGGAAATGGACATTGGAGAAACAAGTGATAGAATCTTGAGGACTAATAAACGATCACGAAGCGCAAGAGGAGATGACAATGGTGCTTATGAGGATGGTGTTTCGGTTTCTAGAGGCGATGAGGACACTCAAAACCAGCAAGGCGAAGAAGAGGAGGAAGCAGAAGATTACAGGAAGCTCACAGTGCAGAATCTTAAGCATGAACTGACGAAGTATGATTACGGACATTTGATACTGAACAAAGGCCATCAGAACAAGAAAGAGATTCTTGCTCTGTATGAAGCTCATGTTCTTCCCAAGAAAGCGTTGGAGAAAGAAGAGAGAAAGAAACAGTGAAAAGCTACTTCGTGGGAAAAACTCTGTACAGAGTGAGGGGAGAAAACATGTTTTAGTCTCGAAGTTTCTGTCTTTAGAGATTAGTAAAGAGTTTGCTTTAGCAAGGCTCTGACTTAAGCATTGTTGTATTGAAACTGAGGTTTAGGGTTTATGAGTGTTTTTGTGTTGGTGTTTGAATTGTGTGGGAGCTGCTGTTGGACTGAAATTTGTAGACTTTATATTTTCTAAGAATTCTGCTGAACTTGTGTTTGACCGTTTGCTTTGGATTTCATTTTTTGTCTTTCTCTCTGTTAACAAACAATTAGTCTTCAGACTTTTTGATTTGTCGACTCTCTTTCTTGTTCAGAATTCTCAGTCAACACTGTAAGGGTTGGCTTTTGGTTTAAATTCGGGTTTGGTTTGGTTTATTTGGTTCTATGATAACTTTAATCAAAACAAATCGATATTAATGTGGTTTGGTTTTATTTGGTTCGGTTATTTGGTTTGGTTTATTGTCAGTTTAGTTTCGTCGAATTAATTTAGACTCTCTGGTTTGTTTTATAGAGAACATAAGATAACTTATCATTTACTCATTAAATATTCTAAATATTTTATGATTATCACATGTAGTTCTTCGCTTTTCATGATTGTGTAGAAAAATCATGTTTTCTAAAAAATACCGTAAGTTTTGAAATATTCATTTTAAAGTAAAATACCTAATAATTTGTTTAGTTGTTTAGGTTAGATGATTAACTATCTCAAATCATAATATTATTGATACATTTAATTAATTTAGTTAAATATACTTCGATTTTTTTCTTAGGTTGGTTTTAAAATCGGGGTTTTTAAAATAAAAATATATATTGACTTGTGTTGTTTTTTATATTTATTGTGAAGTAAATGTATAAAATTGTATTTAGTTGTTTTGGATTAGTTACTCTAATTAAATATATTGCGCTTTTCGGTTCAGTTTGGTTTAAAATCAAACCAAACCGTTTGGATTGCTAAAAACAATAATGTTCTTAGCTTTGAAGGTTTTTATGTCATTTCTTTCTGTTTCTAGAAAAAAAACAATACTTTCATAACTGTTGAATTCTACACAAAAGTTTAAATGGTCAACAGCAACCGCCGTGTACGTTAATTTACAAAGATTACAGTTTACAAATAAAATGCTGTGAATGGTACAAGAAAATAAATAAATAAATAACGGTGATTGTGTTTCAAAAAAAAAAAGTGTTTCAAAAAAATAAAATAATAACCGTGATAATTCATAACATTTGTTACAGTTAGTCAACCACTTAAACTCTGAACTAACTCAGATGCCAACTTACATAAAAGCAAAACTAAATTGAACCGAACAAACATTAAATTAAAACCTACCGAACTTTTTAACCATTAAAGAACAGAACTGACTTGTTCCACAAGGTGCAAAGATTAGGTCCACCGTCTAATTTTGACGATAACCTACCTTCCAAGTCTCGTCAAATTATGAAGGGCCCGAAGTGACTTTTAAACAAATCTTTCGTACACACTTACCCATATTTAAATTATAAATCCTCGTAATCTATAATTGTTTCCGACAGAGCATTCGAAAATTATTTTTATCATATCAAATAATATTCGCACTTCCAGAATTATAATATCCCAAATTTTATAGATCGATGTTAACAAAATCATACGAAACCAATTATATACCCCAAAGTAAGTTAATGTACACGGCCTAACAAACATTATTAGTAGCATTAATTAACACAACTAATTCATTAATAACTAACCCCAAAACTTTTCAAAATGCTCAAATCACCCCTCCTCCTTCCCTCTCCAAACTATTCAAAATCGCCGCCACTTGAGAAACCGACGGCCTACTCCTCCGCGAATTCCCGACGCAAGCCAAAGCAACCTTCGCCAACCTTATCACCAAACACTTCATCTCACTCTCAACAACAACCCTCGGATCCAAAAGCTCACCGAATCTCTTCTCTTTAATCAACGGCGTCGCCCACTTCACTATCAACCCGTTCTCACTCCTCCTCCCGCTCAAAATCTCAAGCAAAACGACGCCGAATCCATAAACATCGCTCTCTTTACAATACCCTTCTTCAACGTACCAAGAAACCTCCGCCTTCTCGCGCGGGATCAAGAACGCGAACCCGTAGTCCGAAACCTTCGCCAAGAACTTCTCATCCACGAGTATGTTCGACGACGTGACTCCACCGTGGACGATTCTAGGGTTTACGATCTCGTGTAGATACTCCAAACCTCTCGCCGCTCCCGCCGCCACTCTGAAACGTTTCCGCCAATCAAAAACGGTTGTTGTAACCGCCGGTTCGGAGTCTACGTCGTCGTGTAAGTGATCACTCAAAGTTTTCGCTTCTCCGATGAACTCGGTGACGACGATCCTCTCGCCGGGAGCTTCGGAGAAGCCTAGGATGGAGACGAGGTTGGGGTGGAGAGCGGAAGAGAGCGTTTTGAGAACCGTGGTGAAACCGGAACCCGGTTTGCTTAAAACTAAACCGGGGTGTATTCTTTTGACCGCGACGAGGTTTTTGTGGGATGTGATAACCGCTGCGTAAACCGTTCCTAACCGGCCGCTACCGATGATTCGTCGTTGGCTGAATCCGTCGGTTGCTGAGTCTAGTTCGGTTAGAGGGTAAGTGGTTCCGGCTGGTTTGGTTTTTGGGAGGAGGGATTCGTCGGACCGGATTGGTTTCTTTTTGCATAGTAAGAGGAGGAAAATGATGAGAAGGAGAAGAAAGAGTGAGAGAAGAGACAGGACAGATGCGTAAGCGATTTTTTCAGATTTGTCCATCTGAAGAAAAGATAACTCATTCAAGAATGTCTGATTATGATTATGGAGTTTGCGTGTATATAGGAGAAGAAAAATATAATAAAATAAAGGTCAAAATGCAAAGTAAGGAATAATACGTTTAAATGGTCAATATATATTGATGGACTCTTTATTTTTGGAAAAAAAGTTACTTTTCATTATACTATATGAAGGAAATATTTGATTTACAGCAGAAATACATATTCTATTCGTTTCATTTTAGTTGTCATTTTAAATTTTACACAAATTAGAAAATATTTAATTTTGCATATTTTCAAAATAAAAACATCATTACCTATACATCTAACCATATTTTAATCAATAAAAATGACATATAAGTTTAATAAATTTTGTACTAAAATTATAAACTGATATTTATTTTTAAACAAAAAAAATTACTCTACCACGACAAAAATATTGAAACGGAGGTTATATTTGTTTTGGTAGGTAAGATTACTAAATTCGTTAAATTCTACAAATGCTATTTTGTTACTTTCTTTACATTAGAAAATTCTGAAGATGCATTAACTTGTCATAAAATGAATATATTGTGCTTAAAATAAAATAGTTCATTTTCATTATATGAGGGAAATGTTTTTTTAACAGCAGAAAGAACTACTATTTGTTTAGATATTTTCTATGCGCAGTAAGAATTTCAATTAAATTCTAAAAATGCTAAGTTTTGTTATTATATGCACATTATGAAGGTGTATTACTTGTCATAAAATTGATATATTATGCATAAATTAAACCTGCATATTAAAATTTTGTTCATATATGTTTGGTAACGACAAATAATTCTGGAAATAAAATGAATTTTAAGTTGACAAAATACTACGGTTACAAAAATATGTTAAAATAATAGTTTATTTGTATATCAAAAATGATAACAATCAACGACCTCTTCTAATTCATTTTTATTTAAAATAATAATTAGGACATAAAAATGAGGATTCGCAATCCAATTAAATTAGTCGTCCGAGAAAACTATATGAGAACCAACGGTGACAACAAAAAACTGGTAGATTTTAAGCAAAAAACACAAATATAAAATTGGGTAGATAAATATTTGGCACGTAATTCTTCTTTGAAACAGTTAAAAATACCATATACCTTGATACGTTGTTCAAAACTTGATAGATGTAACGCGTGCATTCTTCATACGGATGTCAAACAAGCCTTCATGCATGTCCCATCTCGTCCCGTATCGCAACGGACTCAGCTTCTTACGAATTATTGTAGTCCTATTCTGCGCGGACTGCGGTTTGCAGAAGACCGTCAAAATTTCACCCTGCAACAGTGCATAGGTTTATACGGGTCGTCCCGCGGACTATACACTTCATACGTTTCAGGGAGGCTCCCAACATACCTGTGTGCATCACATTGAAGATATATCAACTATTTACTATTTAAATTCACAAAATTTGTTATATATAGTCCTGGACACCATTTGCATTCTTTATAAAATTACATTAGCATTCACTTCAAATCTATTTTCTGCATTCATAAAGTTAGGATTCATAAAATTTATTACAAAGTGCATATAGAAGATGAAATGTAAAATCTGAACCAAATTGAATTTTTATAAAAACACCAAATCATAGTACTCAAACAAAAGCAAACAACTTAAAAATCAAAATTTCAAACTTTAATAAAGTAAAACATCAAATCAAAATAACATTTCAAACATGCTCCTCTTTATCTTCAATCTTCATATTCTGCATCGACAATGGATTCAAATGAAGATAATTTCTCTTTCTCACCATCACCAGCGATTTCTTCATTTGATAATATAAAAACTTAATTTACTTTAAATTAAGGATAATTACTGTACAATAAATTATAATGTGAATTCTTTACCATGTGCATAAGATTCATATCCCTTGATCCAGTTCCTACTGCGTATCAGAGTTTTCACATTTTCTGGGAGTAGACGGCTCCTATATTTGTTTAGAATTCGCGATCCAATACTAAAGGAGGACTCCGACGCCACTGTTGTGATTAGAATACTTAGCAGATCACATGCCATTGCAGCCAAATCACCATACCGATACGCATTATCTTTCCACCAATCGAGGATGTCCAAGCTCTGGAAATTAGTAATGTCCGACGGTGGTTCATCAAGATAAGCTTCGAGAGGTGTCTTTCCGCTCCCAACGCCACTGACTTTTCGAAATGCAAAGAAATCATAAGAATGTTTTAGGAAAAAAATAATTAGAGGGATTAAAAATAAATGAAAAGAAATAAACCAGAAATAACACTCACATCGTAGTTCTCAAACAATCCCATTGACCTTGTTGCACATGGTTGTTGTGAAACAGTCTCACGTGGCTCTGTAAAAGGTGAGTTATTCTTGGAGTTTTTGTCATAAGACTCAAATAAAGTAGTAAGCTTCTCCCACAAGTTCTGCAACTTTGCATCACGTGTGGTCATGTCAAGCTTCTCTAAACATCATTCGACAATTGAAAGTTTAAACCATGGGTCGAAGACTGCTGCCATGACAAAATCATCACTGACTTCCACCCAATATTTATCGAACTTCTCTTTCATCGGTGGCACCATGTGTCTGACAGTCTCATCTTCGCTGTAGTCATTCTGTTGAAGCCAACTATGGATCTTCCAAACTTGATAGAAATACAAGTTCGAAGTATGGTGATTTGTACCAGACATCAGGCTTGTAATCACCGCAGGACCCAGAAAACAGCATATATTCTCAGATCTAGTCCATTCCTCATGTGTAGGCGCCATCTTATAACCCTTTTTATCAAATGTCACCAAGTTAACAAATGTTTTACGGTACTTTATGGCTCTTTCAAGCATATAGTAAGTCGAGTTTCATCTTGTCGACACATCCAGTATTAGCCCCCCATTTTCTTCTACATCCTCAGCATCCACACATTTTCAAATAAATTTTCACGTGTTTCCGATCCTAACACATACTTGACACTCTCTCTTACTTTGTGCAAAGAGTCTCCAATAACCTTCAACCCATCTTGCACTATGAGGTTCAATGTGTGAGCTGCACATCTAACATGGAATAACTCTCCGGCACACATCAAATCATCTCTCAAATTTAGCTGGGATTTGACAATATCTTGCATCGAGTCATTACTTGTAGCATTTCTACAGTGAGAGAGAATACCTTCTTATCAACTCCCCACTCTTTCAGTGTATCAAAGAAACGACCGCAATTTTCATACCGTCATGTGGTGGAGGTAGAGCACAAAAATCCAGGATCTTGTTCTTCAACTTCTAATTCCGATTAATGTAATGTGATGTCACACACATGTATCCTTCCTGTTTCACTGATGTCCACAAGTCAGTTGTGAAAGACACTCGTCCAGGAAGACTCCCTAATTCCCTCTTCAGTGTGTCTCTCTCACTTTAATATAATCGATACACATCTGCTCTCGCTGTGTTTCAACAAATGATATGGACATCAGCATTCAAATACTTCCATGTGTCTCTCACTTTTTCATACTCCACGTACGAGTAAGGTAGATCATTTTGTACTATTGTCTTAGCTACCATCTACCTAAACACAGCATGATCATACTTGCGAGGAACAACTTTTCCCTCGGGGTTGAGTTGTTGTTGACCTCCTTGATTCCTTAGATACATTTTACATCTATTACGATGCCTTCTCAGCCCACTGGTTCTATGCAAATGAGAATGCCATGCATACTCATTCCTGCAATGATTGCATGCAGCTTTCAACTTTCCACTGGCTTTATGTACCACCTTAAAATCGGTCCACACATCTCATCTTTGTCTCTCTTCCCTTTCCTTGTCACCGAGTTCATCATCATTATCCTCTTCTTCATCGCCGAGTTCATTGTCAAAGTCCGGTATGTCCTCTACGACCTTCTCTTTCTTCTTTTGCGACTTAGTAAGCACGACCTTATTCTTTGGCGATTGAGTAGATACGGCCTTTCTTCTCCCACCACGAATCACAGACTTCATAGGAATAGACTAGACTTCCTACACGCTTGTGAGGACGAGCCAATGCCACCATCTATAGTGGATTGCAACATCGGTTTCCTCGAGGCTGTTCCAAAAGAAGTCTTTCTGCGAGGCTTGGTTTTTTGGGTTGATGGAGTGATCTCAACATCAGAATCATCAGTTTCATAGACAAGACTGATAAGCTTTCTTTTGCTTCCTTGTTTCTTTCCAGGAACGCAAGCTACATCATCTTCAGCGACCGATCAACTTTTGTTTCTTCTGCAACAAGCCTAGCTATGAGATTTTGAGTTTCTAAGTCAACTGTATCCAGTGGGACGTAGTTCGGATTAAACGTCTGATCTTCTGAGTCGCCTCTCGATCCCATGTTCTCTCTCTTAGGTTTTTTGGTTCTGGTAGGCTAGGTTCTGGTGTTTTTTTTTGGTCTCTCTCTCACGTATTGCGGTTTTTCTAAAGCTGTTTTAGTTATTAGGGCTTTCTAAAGTTTGTTAACATTCTAATTAAAAAATTGTTAATATTGTTTTTTAAATATTTGAAAATTTTATGCAAGTACACATCCCAATTAAAATTTTAAATGTGTCATCAGTACATGTATTCACGGAAAGCTAACTAGCCTACCAATAACCTACGCAATGCAACCAAATTAAAACCCTAAGCTACGTTCCAGAGATTAAGTTACTCACCTTAGTTCTTTAAAGCTGCGATGAACTTAGAGCTTCAGTTGTTTTAACTTGATGCTCCATTGCTGATCCTGCTTGCTTGTTCACGATCACTCCATCATCTCATGCAAAAAAAATATAAAATAAAGTTACATAAGTCAAGACAAATAGCTAACCGAGACAGAGACATCAAACTATGCAGCTATAAAACAAACGGAACAATCACAAAGTCAATGAGTTCAGTCTTGTCTTAACTTCGCACTGAGTTCAGCCCCCAAGCCTGTGAACAATCACCCTTGAATCTTTAGGATAATTTTTAACAAGCTTGGAGGTTTGAACTCGGTGACCTAGTACAGACAAGTAATGCAACTCATGTAACACTCAATCCAAGCAATCATATACAAAGAAATTTAACAAATTTAGCAGAGACATATCAATCTAGTTTATACAAACAAACAACAAATAACCAAGTAACTACTCTATAATGTTAATTAATTATATACAT